TGCTGACAGCTGCAGCCTGAAGTAACAAGCTGAACAGCCAATGGAATGAGAGTTTAGAGTGTAAGGGCTTGCTAACTCTCTGTTAGTGGAGCGTATAGAAAAAAGGGGCGGGGCTTTGGAAGAGTTGATTCATGTAAATAATGTCGTCAATGTGAACAGATTCTTCTTGATTTGAAATGTCAATAAAAATGAAAAGTGCAAAGAAACCATAAAGGGTTAATCAATAATGTTCCTCTGAAACAAACAAACAAACAAACAAACTGAACAGCTTGTGTGTGCTCATATTTCTATATTAATGCTCACAGGTACACAGTGTTTATATACTGTATGAAGAGCAGAAACAGCTTCACTCTATAATTCATCACATGTGAATGTTTGATGAGCCAGTACAGAAAAACACAGTGTGTGTTTGTGTGTGTGTGTGTGTGTGTGTGTGCGCTTCTTATTGGTTCGTCAATAATGTTAGCATATTAGATAGTTGTTATAGAAATAATGTAATTTTTTTCACTTTCTTCAAAACCTTTATTTCAAAGGTCATCAGTAACGTTAACATTAGCATTAGCATTATCACTACAATGACATAATAATTTTGAACATGCTAGAATAACTCGTTTATATGCAGACGATACATTCTTGTATGCCACTGAGGAAATCCCTTCAGGATAGTCTTCTTAAATCACATTTATTATTGTTTTGTTAAAGCTGCCGAGACTGAAGAGATGTGGTTTGGTCACCTTGAACATCGGCAGTAGAGGTGGAATGATCCTACAGCAGGTTGCGCTGTAAAAATACCTTCTCTCAACGTGTCACTATGTCATAGGTAAAATGTGGTGTTCTAGATAGAAATCTTTTACATCTGCCGCCAAATAACAGAAATAAATACTTAAGAGCTATAACTGCCTCCTGTGTTCAGCGAAGGCTCTGCATACTCACATAATTTGTCAAGAAGTACAAAATGCCTAATGGTCACTCTTTACACAAATCTGAGTAATCCTTTTTGTATCTCATACTTATGCCATGCTCCCTCCTAAAATGCTTTAGTGACTCTTGCCTTATGAAAGACAAAATAATGCAATAAGACACTTCCTCTTGTGCTGCAATGCATGTGTGTGGTATAGCAGAACCACACCAGTGTGAGTGTTCATTACTTCTTTGCAACCTGTCTTCATATAAACCAGGATCTGTCTTGTTTAACATTTGAGAATTTGTCCTCACTCCTCTTCCTTCTTTTTTTCTAACCACCATGAAAATATATATATATTTTTTTTTTACCGTAAAAGCAGGAAGTAAGCATATTTTCAGTGTTGACACATGGCCAGTGTCAGTGCAACACAGTTAAGTAGCATGTTTTTGCTGTGGTTTTCTGTCCCTTTTGTAGGGACGTACAAAAAGAAGACCCTGATTCTTACATCAGAGTCAAGGTCCCTAAATCTAACACATCCTTCAGTCTGCTGCTGCTAATGATTGGAATCTGCTGGATCAATTGATCTCAATCACTGCTTTTAACTGTGTACTACAGTAATGACCATTTTCCTGCTGTTTGATTGAACGATTTAGTCACTGTTCTTTTTTATGTTCTTGTTTATCTCCTTCTTGATGTTTCCAGGTCGTTGGGTTGAATAAATGTGAAATGGATAAAAAAAAAATTCTGTTCACAAAATGTAGAATAATTTCAGAGTTTGTGATAATACCTAAAACCAAGTCGTTAAAGGATGTCATGTGACTCACCGTCAGACGCTGGGTGCTGTCTCTGGTTGCCTGGTGCAGGTTGCTGTTGCCGTACAGTGTGGATACATAGCTGCTGTAGTTGGCGTTGGCAGGGTCGAGGCTCTGGGGGCGACTGGAGCTCAGGTTGTAGTTGGTCAGGTCTTTGATTCCAGCAGTGACGGTGGTGTTACTGTTTGACAGGTTGGTTGTGGTGGCAGCGGTGGTGGTGCGGTTAAGGTCAGTATCTGGAGCAGAGTCGGGGGTCCTCCTGAGATCTGCTGCAAGAAGATAACCACCATCATCATCATCATTACCTGCAGTGTCATCCCACGACCAGGCAGTGTGCTTCCAGAACATCCTGACTGCCCTCAGACCAGATCAGACTGGACCAGATCAGACTGGACCAGATCAGTCAGACAGGTGGTTCTGGATCACAGTAAAAAGGACCACACCAACACCAAAACTCAAGTCCCTGTTTTTAAACTTTCTTCGAGTTCAAGACTTCCAGAAAACAGATTCAAGGATCAAACCAAGAACCTGCAGATCTTAAACCAGAATCAGAAGACTTCAGTAGATCTAATCCTCCTACATGATGGTGCTTATACTACAGACAGTACTGCTGATAC